AGGCAGTTCTGAAGGCAAAAGGGGGTCCAACCCGTTACTAGCGTGGTGTACCTAATAAAGTGGCCGGTGAGTGTAAGTTTTGGTTCAAGTTAGGGTTAGGAATAGACTAGTAATGGTTAGTGTTAGGGAAAATGCAGTTACAAAAATGAATGGAAGTCAATACAAAGTCCTCAGTTTGATGCAAGTACAAGGATGTGTGTGTGTGCACTTTTATGTGCTACCTTTGTAGGACTGTTTCTGGTATACACTCCTACCTTGTCAAGACCAGTAGTCCTTAAAGGGACCAAAGACTGGTCCTAATATGCTGGAACTCCAATTTTAGTTTGGGGTTTAGGTTTAGGKTTAGGTACTGTGGGGGATTAGGGTAAGGGGTCACGGTTAGGCTATATAGAAAAAACTGTAAATAAGTGGAAGTTGATGAATGGTTCTAAGGGTAGAAATACAAACGTGTGTGTGAGACACATGATGTGCATTTTAATATCAACTCTGCTCTCAAAACCCCTCCATATCAAATGTTTCTATTTTCTTTTTTTTTAATAATCAGTATTCATTTGCTCATGTGAAATTCCAACAGGCCGTGTTAATGCGGTCCAGTGGTCGGCATCAATATGTTGGAGGAAACGACTGACATTATTGAGCAACAAGGTGTGTCCATGAGGGACTAATGCAATTGCTCTCATGACATTGATTTCCCYGCTGAAATGTCAATGTATTCATTATTCATCCAGCCAACGTGAACGCACGTGATGCAGGCTGTTTGAGACGCGCTGTGAGGTTTACTGACGGGTTATCAATCGTGGCTTTTTGAAGCAGGGACAACYCTGCGTGCTGCAAATACCCTGAGGTGAGGTGGGTTCAGAAAAAAACTGAGCATTATTGTGTAACCAGAGGATTAACATCTATTTTATACTTCCTTTTGTTTTGACCAAATCTGTATGAAACAGAAATCTAAAATCTCCCCCTTTTTTTTCCCCATGATGCCCTCTGCTCATACTCACATTTGCTGTGCCTGTCGCAGAGCGCCGCCTGTCTCATGTCACAGAGGCGCATCGAGCCCTTACTGCTGCTGTAGGCGAAGGTGTGACAATGCTGCGGGTGAAACTCGGCTGAAGTGATGACTTCCGTCAGCTCCTCCATGTTGGCTGGCTTAATGTCCACAATGTCTGAGGGACGCGTGCTAAGGAACACCAGTTTAAACGTGGACATGCAGTGGGCACCCACAGCAAAACGAACACTGAGAATAATTGGGAAATGGACTGTACTTGTAGCACCTTTCAATGCAACCAGGATACACAAAACGCTTTACAACACAATCTGTGCCCTCACTTACACATTCACACAGCACTCTACCACATCTCTCTTCAAAGCTAATCTAGATAAATCATCCTATAGAGACTAGTCAGTGCATTAAATCACACTCATACACAGATGGGACACACATCAGAGGCCATAGGGGTTCAGTGTCTTGCTCAGTGTCTCAGGGTCTGGTGTATGTCAATATGTCAATTTTAATGTGTCTTTAGCATTTGTCTTTTTTTATTGTCTATTTCCAAGATGGAGAAGAAGATATGACAAGTTAAAAAGGCCCTTCTCTAGCTGTGTTTCCCTTGCAAACATGCGCAAAATTTTGTCGATTTTCYGTTAATGTCGAAAAAACACAGTTTCGCAATTGTGATGTTTCCATTAAGTAAGAAATGCTATTAAAGTCACACGTGAATACGTTTGTTCTCACGATAAGTCATTACAAATATGATGGCAGTGGATGTAAACGCATAGCATATTGCTGCCTCAACACTAGCGCTCATCATCAGCTATCAGAGGAGACGTTGGCGTCTTATCGAGGCTTTCCAGTGACAAGCCCCTCATACTTGGAAGCGGCTACGTATACTGTGTTTTTGGGAAATTGTAGACAGCGGGTTTACTACTTTCCTTTACAACTTCTGTGATTTTACTACCACTTTTACTTCCTGTTATCTTCTTCTTCGTCGTCTTTTCGCCAGTAGAAACAGCCGGTTCTTGATCACGTGACTCCCATGATGCGAAAAAAGTGTTTTAATTGCAGTTTTTTCCAAAATACATCAATTTCGATACGGCTGAAAAACCACCTCATCCTAGCGCAAAAACATTTTATTGAAAAACGTAATTTTTTTTCGAAACTGATGTGTTTCCGTTGAGCAAATTTATTTTCAAAATTCGAATTTGTGCATTTTCATGGTCAATGGAAAGGCAGCTACTTTCAGGGTTGATGATAAAATTCTGAGCTCAGACTATGATATCTACTGGTACTGTACACACTGGAGAGTTTCCAGTTTGAGGGTCAGGGTACACCCCGGACAGGTCACAAGTCTACAAAAGGGCCTAAATTGTATTTAAAAATGTTACTTTTGTAGTTGGTTAAAAGAGTTTGTTTGCAAAGATTTGGGAAAGATTAAACATCTTAAAGTGTCTGACATCATCACAATGTACATAAAACAATTTGTGCTAAAAATCTTGAAAATTGTAAAATGCAACTACCAAGACATCAGCAATATTTCATTTAAAAACTGTAGAAACTCAGTAAAATATATCAAAATGCTATTTCATTTCAGTAGAATCCAAATTTTTTTTGTGATCTGTTAAAATATTACGCTATTTTTAATTAATAAAAATCTAAACTTTTTCATTACGCTGGATTTATAGAGCTAAAAATATCAGATTTAAAGGGGGGGATGGGTATTATGTATTTTCTAGGCACATAGTTCAATTCTATACCACAATCAAGTAACTGTTACCTTTAATATAATGAAAATGCTGTATATATTAAAAATAAATATGACTTTGCATCAAAGCCTATTTAAAACTCTTGATAATTGGTCTTTGTCTCTTTAAGAATCTCCTACCTTTTCAGACGCTTCCAYTTAAGCACGTCTTCACAACAATGCTTCATGTAGTTCACAACCTTTCGTAGGTAGGAGTATTGTATTTTGTTGTAAAAAAAAAAGAAGCAACATTATATAATATCGGTTTTGGAAAATGGCAACTCAGGATCAGAGTTGTAAAGTAACTAAGTACAAATACTTTGTTACTGTACTTAAGTAGAAATTTTGGTTATCTGTACTTTACTTGAGTAATTATTTTTCAGCGTACTTTTTACTTTTACTCATTACATTTTTACACAATTATCTGTACTTTCTACTCATTACATTTTTAAAAAAGGTAAGAAGTAGAAAGCCGTTACTCCTATTTTATTCTGAATTGTTATTACTTAAAAAAACTATCCTGATAAATTGTGTCTCCTGGATAAAGTGAATTTAACTGTGGTTGGATGAGAAGTATAAATACAGTATATACCATTCTGACACCCTATTAGCTTGTACACAACTCATCACAGCTGCACGCCGTTAGAAAAAATATTTTTTTGAGAAGTCACCTCCCAATAAATGTCATTTTGGAAAATCTAACTGCTCACTTTTACTCAGTACTTTTACTTTCAATACTTAAGTAGATTTTGTGTCAGAAATTTACTTTTGATACTTAAGTACAAAAAATATCAGATACTTTACGACTTTTACTCAAGTAATATTTTTAGAGAAGACTTTAACTTTTACCAAAGTATTTTTATGATAAGATACTTGTACTTTTACTCAAGTATCATTTTGAGGTACTTTATACAACACTGCTCGGGATAGTTAAACCTTACTCGAATAATCCCACATCTGACTCAGAAAGTACATTTTCTGAAGAACCGGAGCGAGAACAGAGGCTCTTACGAAACGTTTCAGCTTGGTAATATATTTCTCAGTCAATTTCATGTAGGCCTACATATACGTCAATATTAAGCTACTTTTTTGCAAAGAAATTATAAATCTAGATCATTATGATGTTCTGCAATGAAATCATGAACATCCACCACTTTTCGGATATGTTTTGCACTGAAATCGTAGTGATTTGCAAAGAAATCTCCTGCCACTAGTCTGATGGAGCCGTGTGAGGGAGGTGGGGGGGACGGGGTGCTCTGTGGGGTGGGAGCTTGGCTGGGAACTGAGCTCTAGGGAGGAGCTTTGCGTAAGTAGGCGGTGCTTTGTAGCCAGCATGTGTTTCAGGCAACTCCAAATGTCTACACCATGAGATTCTTGGATTTCTTAAACATGCATGAAAGAGTCAAAGCAACACTATGTGTTCAATGAGGGAATGACATTATAAAGATAAATAAAAGGATTTTGCATAACACCCCCCCCCCCTTTAAGCAACAACATTATGTGACCACAGTTATGTGTCGTTTGTCCTCATGTGGCCGTATAGTGCACTGCTGACCTGTCAAAGATGTGCCCTGCCTTTCATCCATAAACTGTTGGAAATAGGCCACAGCTCCCTAAGACCATGATCAGGACCAATCAGGTACAAACAAATACTGTAGATTGATGGGTGAACGGACGGATGAAAGACATTAGGAGTTTAAAAGGATACTGAAGCTGCGGTCGGTGATCTCCAGGTTCCACAGGTTCACCCGGAGGTCGTCTGTGGAGATGAAAGTCTGAAGGTCTGAGTTGACGGAGATGGAGTTGATGTGGTACGTGTGGGCGTTGCTGAAGACCCGTCTGGCTGTAGCCTCGACCATCAAATCCATCGGCTGCAGCACTGGCACCTACGTGCAGACAGGGCAGTTAAAAAAACACATAAAAAAGACGCAAGACAGAAAAAACCTAATGAAAGCTTTGATGTATTTTATCACACTGTGTGATTTCATTTCATGGAGGTAATTTTAGATTTCTTTATTTGCATTTGTGAATGTGTATGCAGTGGCTTTTTAAATCAGAGACCACGCAGTGTGGGGTAACGTGCATATATGTGTGTGTGTGCAACATAAGCAAATGACTCCAGGGGTTCATTTGACATTTACTCCACAATTATACAGAAACAGTCAGAAACTGGGCAGCTCATGTGTGGGTTTATACAGTTTTGCTGCACAGTCACTCAGTGAGCATGCCCCTCATTTCTCCTCTTCCTCTTATTGCCGCTGAATAAGTCCCTCCTGCTCACTCACTTGTGTGTGTTCGGAATGGTCGGAGAAAAAGGTGGCACCGAGACATAGCCTGAAGGCATCACTGGGCCCTGCTGTGGAACGATAACTGAACTCTGCGGACTTAAAACCAGCTCACACAGACACCAATACAGTTTTTTTAGTGCCGCACAGGCTTCAAAGACGCCCATCACCAGTGTGCAAGCAGCCCCCCCGTTGGTCAGATAAAACCCAGACAAAGAGAGGAAATAGGGGAGGGAGCCAGGCGAACAAATCGGCTGCTCCCTCTCTAATCTTTTTTTTCCCCCCTCCTTTCTTTTCCGTCCACTGCTGGCACCGGCAGAAAGACACGGCAGCCCAGCAGGCTGCTGTAGCTCCATGGGTGTCACTTTCTTTCCATGTCTTTTCACTCACCGTCCAGAGAGACACGGGCCTTATTAACCCATAACCTGCAACACTGACAGCTACACCGCTCAACCTGCCCCATCTTCCCCTCCCAGAAATCCAACAGTTCCTAAAACGATTGTAAAACATCATCTAATAAAAATACTTTACAATCATTTTCTACGTAAAGCATTTTTACCACAAACATGCTTTTTTATTTTTAAGGACATTCTTACTCTTTTGCGGCACCGATCAGACAAAAATACACTTTCCTCCATGCAGATTTCACAGCCACCTAAACAGGATTGCCACAGTTCCCAGCCATCATGCAGGTCGCTGTGATCCCCCGGCCGGCCAGACAAAAGAGGGGCAGACACGCTGAGCACCGCACTAATCTTCAGGCACACAAACACACGTTCACCCCGTCCTGTGTGTATGTTTAAATTAAACAGGTAGTGGGGTGATAAGAATAAACGTATGGATGCACTGATAACGCTTTCTTATTTTCCAATTTGTTTACACTCAAAACTGCACCAACGGCAGGATGCCTCTCRTTTGGTAAAGGTGACATCAGAATTGTAAACCCACAATTAAACACAAAATACAGACAAGGTCTATCGATCCTTCAGGGGATGCATATCACCCACTACCTTTCTTGCCTGAATCTAAGGCTAGAATAATATTGTTAGGGACAGAGTTGTGGTCGATTAGGTCGAAGGTTGTACTTTGTTCAGTTTGTTGCTGTTTTCTCAATCGATGGCTAAAATCAAGAGTCCACAGCCTTTACAATCCAAASAGCCACTTCTTCAYCTTGTTTAGATACAATTTGAGCTCATTTAAATGCGGAACAGTAGAGGTGATATATTTCAGTTTGACAGTYTTTACTTGCAAAAATGTGATCACTGTCTTGGGTATTAAACTATGACTTACTCTTCAAAGAAAACTTTTAATTACTTTAACTTTCATTAGGTTTTAATCATAGACAAGCCCTTATTTCTAATTCCTACCATCAAAATATCTTGCCCTGTTGTTTTTAAGGAGACGTATGCTTTGAAATCCTTCTTTTTCACATTTAAATCATTCAGTTGGGGTCTATATAAAGTGGAACTRMAATACTTTGGTCTGAATTCAAGGTTATTGTAACTCMACAAGCCCCTCTTTCACCCCTTTTCTGAGGTGTGTCTCAAAGCAGCTCTTTTGAGGCGGTCTATTTAAATCTAAAGAGGCGATCACACACCGCCTCGTGATTGATGGAGTGATTTAGGACCATATAGCAGTGCAGATTTTTTTTATTTACAAATAATTAAAAGATGTCAACAACGGAAGACTTGTCCATCCAGCCTCACAGGTTGGAGCCAGAGTTTCACCCGGAGCCAGAGGAAAACGAAGACGACAAAACTGTAGTTGGTAAGTTCAGACCTTATATAGAAATGCCGTCATAAATACTCTGATGTAATAGTTCAGGAATATAAATTAGTGAAAACTAAATAAGTTGAAAAAATATGACTCAAACAAAAAAATAAAGATGTCTTTGCAGCAGTGGGAGAGACTAAATTCAACTTTTCTGCACTACTAGAGACTCCAAGTACACAACAAAATGTGTTTAAAAATGTGAATTTGCATATGTCCCCTTTAAAACCCTTTGTTATAGTATACTTATCTGTTGTATACATGCAACATTGTATTATATTCTCTTAGTATCTTAAATGTGTTTAAATATGTTAAAAATGAGCAAACCTCTGGTGGATTAGAAAGAAATTTCCACCACTGTGTGGCTKGAAGCCACAAAACCTAATTTGRAAAATGTAATTTGGCTAACAAATTRTTAGCACAATTTGATCTAGATGTTTTGTTCCTTTTAAATATTCTGTCACAGAGGTTTTAYTCACATGAAAATGACTAAAACCACAGCAGTCAGGTTTCTCTTGTGGTTATATAAGTTATGTGGTTATAATAYATACCCAGTGGTAAGTATGTAACCACAAGGGTTATATGCATCCCCTGAAGGAATGATAGACCTTATCTGTAATGTCCTCTATGGCAGGAAGTGGTGCTCCGATGATACGCTGGGCAGCTTTCACCACCCTCTGTAGCGCCTTCCGGTCTGATGCCGAGCAGTTCCCGTACCAGACTGTGATGCAGTTGGTCAGGATCCTCTCAATGTTGCAGCGGTAAAAGTTTATCAAGATGTCTGAGGACAGGTGGTTCTTTCTCAGAGACCTCAGGAAGAAGAGGCRCTGGTGAGCTTTCTTGACCAGCATGGAGCAGTTGGTCGTCCAGGTGAGATCCTTGGATACCTTGTAGTTACATACTTACCCAGCTCACAGACTATTCACCCTCCTGCCCTCTGGGAGGTGCTACAGGAGCCTCTGGACTAAGACCACCAGGTACCGGAAAAGCTTTTTTCCTACAGCTGTTACGCTCCTGAACTCTGTCTCCTGACATCAGCACAATACCCATAACCAATGGACCCAACAACACTACCTGCACTGTTTTGCCCAACACTGCATAAATAATCTACTCTTGTTAATAATTACATAATCAATTTATATGCCACCATTTTAGAACATGATCATAAGATGTAAATTCATATTTTTGTAAATTAAAGTCARTAAATTCATATCCTGTACATTCATAACCTGTATATAATTATACTTACAGCTATAACATATTGAAAAAATACTGTACATTTGTAATATAATATACTGTATACATTTATATTTCATGCTAAGCCCTTCTGGATGGATGCAAACTGCATTTCGTTGCCTTGTACTTGCGACATGTGCAATGACAATAAAGTTGAATTCTATTCTATTCTATTCTATTCTATTCTATTCTATTCTATTCTATATGCAGATTAGTCACTCAAGCGTTGCTTTGGTCAAAGGTAAAACAGCTGCTAAAGAGAGATTTAAGAGATGCGGATCTCTGAGCTGGATAGTTGGATACATTTTAACTTCCACGTCAGTAAAAAAACATAAGGAAAAAATAAATAAATGAACAAAACAGTTACATGTGAATATTCTAATTACTAACCTACTACTTCACTTACGCCTTGGGTCGGTTAAGTCTGGTGTCATCACTATGACTTTTAAAGCTGATATGAGTTTATCTAAAGCTGCCAGAGGAGAAGCAAATCAAAAATTGTGATGGAAATGAAAAAAATATTGAACAAATACTAAGAAAAGGCACCCTTATTAACAGAAAGTTGTAAAATAAATGGACCCAACATGATTCTAGTTTCATCATTTGTGATTAAAAGTAATTTCATAGCTTGAAATTACCCATGATTTAAGATTACGCTAAGTCTTGTACAAGTAGTGAACAAGTACTGATTTATTTTCTGCGCTGATTATCAGAACAGTATCTTTGCTTTTTGTTTTATATTTTTTGGTGTCTTGTATCTAACATATCTCTTTGGTGACTTAAACTGTAAGATGTGACATTTCAGGTGGCGTCAGTCAGGAGAGCCTCCTGCCACCTCTTACCCGAAGCGAGGTGATGGTCGATGGGTCACGGATGCGACCATCCTCATCCTTCAAGTTGTAGCCTTCCGGGCGTTTGTCCCTTTCGCTGATCTTCCACAGCTTCACAGTCTTGTCTGAGATGAAAACATCACACACAGGGAAAAAACAAATTACATTTCAATCATTGGTCCCAACAGCGAATCTTCCCTTCAAGATGAGTGTTTTTTGGGGGGTTGGGCGGCAAATCTGGCACGTAGCTGGGCAGCAGCCAGTGAGGATGATGAATGGTGGCTCATGCACAGATTCTGATGTCACTGATATCCATCTACAAGTTGACTTCATCTCCCACTGCCATAAACACCACCCCCACCCCCTAAAAAAATAATGAAATACCATCTGTGTGCTTTTCAATTCTGCTTCACATAAACACCAGTTACATCTCATCTCAGTCTACTGAAGTGGATGGTGGCAGCAGTCAGGTTGTTTTTTTTTTTTTCCTTTTTAATTTCCTCTGTGAAGCTTGTTGGTGTCAGAGCAACGAGGCCAACGCCACAGGACCCTCCACCATCTGCTCCAGCCACCGCTAGCGCTTCTGSAGCGGCCACGCGTGAAGCCCCGCAATCTGCGAGACGTCGCTCCCCGCGCCGCGCATGTGCCAATCCGAGCCGGTGAGCGTGCACGTGTGTGGCGACACACGCTGCGACGAGCGTGTGTTCCTGTGGCAGCCGGGCGTGAATTCCTTAATTTGAAACTCTTCAGCTGGTGGCGCCTGCTCAGCCGAGCAGAACACCCCGCTTCGCTCAAACAGAAAGCTAAAAAAACCCGACAATTTTATGTGACAATACCTTCCCCCCCACACACACACACACACACACACTAAATCCAATTTGCAAATTGGAAAATGTAGTTAACAATAACTTGACATTTTTATCGACCGAAAACAAAAGAACACACTTAAATAAGACATTCTGTGAGGAAAGATTATTAGTCCCTTTTTTTTTCCTTTTTAGCCATTCGTCCACTTTGTTAACTGACCGTTGGTGGAAAGTAGGAAGTACGCAGCGTTCTGCTGAGGCAACCATTTGATCTTGTTGATCTTCTCTTCGATTTCCAAACTCTTCAGGTAATCAAACTCAGGCTCGTGGCTCTGGAATGTGCTGTAAACATTGTACTCCCCTCGACGATGGGGCTGAGTCTTACTCTGCAAAGGACAAAGTAAAAAAAAGGAAAACGGGTTAAACGCTGGGGGTCAGTTACTAAATCCTACAATAGTGGTGAAGACGATCCAACATTTCAGAATCAATGTGAATTTATAAGTTTATTCTAGTTTAATTACAGTTCATTAATAGCTTAAGGCATATTAGCCCTGCTCACGGCACAAAACAGCCATRCTTCTGCGTCTGAACTAACCTTTGATGTAACTTTGCTGCCATTTTTGGTCCGATTGTTCTGATGCATGATCCTTTATGGACCAAAACTAAGCGGTCTTATGGATCTAACATCCTAAAGATCAGGGCTTATCACCTGAATATTGTTACAGCACACAAATATTGTTGCTCAAAACTGACATAATATCGGCTTCTATAAAAGCCAATCACAACTAGCAGTATTCAGATAATCACATAAAAAATGTGATCAATGGGTTTTGTTTGATGCAAAGGATGGTTCAAATCTTTTGAAGTGGAGTTTTGTTGATTGGTTGTGAACCAATAGAATCTCACCTGTTTTAATATTTGTTTTATTTATCTCAGTTTTGAGAGTTTAACTCTGACCTGAATGACCGAATGACATGCGATTAGTTAATCTGAGCGTTACCAAGACCAGAATGGACTGTGGCTGTCTTTTAACAACTTTAGTTTAAAGGTGTATTCACACCAGGAAAGTCCTTTGGTCCAGTTGTTCAGTGAACAAGCTCAAATAGGGGCAGCAGCAGTTAGCTGTAGCACTTTTAAGGCAACCATGGGTAGTGTTGTAGTACTTGAAACCAGTCTTGGTCTTAAGACCGGGGTCTCAAGACCAGTTTTTGATGGTCTTGGTCTCGTCTCGGACTCGACAGCATTTGTACTGGGTTTTGTCTCGGTCTCTGACATTGAGGACTCTGAATTTTATTTCAAGACCAGTTAAGACCACAACTACGGAAATATCACTAACTAGCCAGATTATTRGCCAATTTATTAGTTAACAATCTTGCTTTCATTGKTTTTAAAATGTAGCTACTGATTCAAATCCAAAGCTGACTCGTTGCTATTTTGTTAACGGCTGTCACCCATCCGCACCCCCATCACTTGCAGGCAGCACTCCTGGAAAGTGAACCGTGGTTCGCTGGGAGCGATAAAGGATGTCTTCAAAATTTTAAGTAAAAAAAATTGGCTACATTATTCATAAATATCATTGCAAAACAACAACAGCCAGGAGAAATCGTAGAGTAACTTGTAAATTTGGCAGTGCTTCACTTTCAGAAACAGTGGGGACAACGTAAAAATTTTATCGTCACTAACGTTAACAATCTACCCCTGTAGAAAAATTCTTTCCTCTGCCCTCACACAAAGATTTTGTCAATATTAGCTCTACATATTAAGTTAGATAACGTGGGGGGAAAAAGTATTTAGTCAGCCACTAATAGTTCAAGTTCTCCCACTTAAAAAGATGAGGAGGCCTGTGATTGACATCATAGTTAGACCTCAACTATGAGAGACAAAATACTCCCCCCACTGTGCATGTGTACAGAATACTCCATCTTTTAGGACACATTTTTTTATCTGGTCTTGGTCTTGTCTTGGTCTTGCCCTCCCTTGGTCTTGGTCTCGATTTGGTCCAAACCCTAAAAGTCTTGGTCTTGTCTCGGCCTCGAGAAACTGTGGTCTTGGTCTTGACTTGGTCTCGGGTTAGGTGGTCTTGACTTCAACACTAACCATGGGTGCTCCAGGCAGGGATATAGCAAACGGTGTATTCACATCAGGAAAACGGACTTTATTTTTTTTACAATTGAAGTGGTTTGTGTTCACATTGTGCTTCTTTGTAAGTGGACTATAATTTATTGACAAAGCCACACGGGTCACGGTCATTGCTCCCATTGGACATAACGGAGTGGAACAGAGTGCAGACCCAGAGCATGTTTCCTGCAGTTGGTTCAGTTCGAGGCCGGTCTATATTCACACCATAAATGAACCGCACCAGAGTTTGTTTGGAAGCGGACCAAGACCACCTTAAAAATGGGTCTCGATCCGGATGTTTGATCCGCACCAGTGTTCGCATGAGTGTATTCACATCTGCATAAAAGGTCTGGACCAACGGGCGAAATGAACTCTGGTCCGTTTAAAGTGAACCAAATGTGTCAGGTGTGAATACACTCAAAGTCTCTACAAGAATAATTGAGATGTGGATATTACGAGGCTTGTAAAATAGTGTTTACATGAGCTGCTGTGACATCAGATGGCATAAAACACTTTGGTCTTGGCCTCGCTCAGACTAGCCGTTAGCAGACTAGCTTGTCCTCTGTTTCTCCAGACTGGGGTTATATAAAGATCCATCTCCTACAGGTACAGATCTGTTCATCGTCTTTCCACCTCATTGTAAAGGGCCAATATAATGTAAAATCAACTTTTTTAGCTTTATATCATGTTATAACGTTATCCTCTCATCAAAAATATGCTCAGAGTCTTGCTTTGACTCATTCATGGATGCGTGAGAAATCCTGTAGTGTCCTGAGGCAGCCATTCGGGACAACAAAAACGACTGGTTGGGCCTAGAACTGCCTTTTAGGAGCAGCTCCTCCTCTGGGCTGTGTCTCCAAACCGAGCTTCCTCATCACAGAGCACACTTCACTCGCAACTCCTACAGGCTATCAGTGGCAACAACTAGCAAACCACTGGTGAAACCACACAAGCTGAGCTCGTAATACTAACAGCTTCTCAGCCCAGTCCTTTTAGCTTTAAAAATGTCTTTGAAGAAATACATTTTCAGATATTGTTCGGTTGTTTGGTCTATCTGTGATCTATGGTTATCATTTGTAACTTATATTATGATCTGTGTTCTTTAATTGACATACACCACATTTTACTAAGGATGCACCAATATGAAAATTTCAGCCAATATTGATATCTGACATAATTATTGCTGTTATGGCCTATTACTGATATTTACCGATATTAGACAAACACACAAATTATATTATACATCTACACACAAACACACTTGGGTCTTTTTATGATACCATAAATACACGACCAGACCTCTGACATGGCTCCCTACTTCAGTTATTCCTGGCTGTGCAGCGTCAATATCACTATAATGATCAAACAGATGCTGCTCAACCAACCATAACAGAAACACAAAGCTAAAAAGTGGGAAAACAATTTCGGACATTAATATCGGACCGATACGATATTTTAAAAAATGACCAATATCGGCCGATACCGATATTAATGCAGATATATCGTGCATCCCTACATTTCAGTAATAAATAAAATAGCTTAACATTGATGAGTGTGTCTGTGATGATGACTGTGATGATGACTGGGAGATGTCTTACCAAGCTGAAACATCTTCTCTGTACTGTTTCTTCAGAAAACCTACTTTCTGGGCYGACGGTAAGGTTCAATTGTATCCTGAGCTTCCATTTTCCCAAACCGAAACCGTGTAATGTTGTGGCTTTTTTATTGTCATTACAACAAATGAGGCTACAATACTCCAGGATGTAAAGAGCATGAAGCCGTTTTGATGACGAGCAGAAATGGGCGTAACAGAAGCAGTAGGAGGTTCTTAAAGAGTCAGGGGCCAATTTCAAGGCATTTAGAAATGGCTATGATTCAAAGTCAATTTTATTTTTGATTTATACAAATAAACAGCCTTTTCATAACAACTGAAGGTGACATAGTTACTTTATTACGTATAGAAATGAACTATCTGCCTGAGAAACACATACAGGTAATATTGGCCCTTTGAAAGATCTCAAATTTTACTTTAACCTTTTTAGGTCCAACTGGAGCGAACATGTGAAGTTGTTCAGATATATTACTTTTGCATTGTGGCTATATGATGATGAAATACTAAAATCTTGAAATATGTTGTGGCATAGTTCATCTAAGATGGTATCTACAGTAAGGACCTAAAATAACCATTGGTTTTCTTCTCGTGTTTGTTTCATTTTTTGTTTGTTTGTTTGTTTGTTTGTTTTAGCATCTCAGCTAGCATTTTAAACCCAATGTGGATATCGAGGGCAATCACAGTCCATCTGACTGACCAAATACTGCGTATGAATGCAAAGCTCTTGGAATGTAAAAGAATACAATTTCTTTACTGTACAAATAATACCCATGCTGCTYGAGCAATCCAGTTTTGAGATACAGTGCAACTCATATACTATACAAAATGTACAAATTTATTTTAACACGGCCCTATTTGAACACATGTAATTAGAAACCTTTGCATTCTTGCCTGACTGCAAAAATGGTTGCTTTTAATATTTTTTTTTCATCTAATTTATATACATATCAAATAATTTCCAGCTGAATGTTTAGGCTATTTTCCTTTTCCAATATTGCTCCTTCTTCCATAATATTTTTACTTGAATGTTCCTTCAAGTGCCTCCAAAAGAAAGAGTGGCATAATTAGTATTGAATTGTTGGCATTTCTTACCTCCTGCTCCCTCTGGAAGACAACAACTCTTCCTCCTTTATCCCCGGTGGCCAACAGCTCCCCCGTTGAGTTAAACTCCACCGTTGAGATAATGTCAGCTGCAGCACAGGAAGCAGAGCAGAGAGAAGGGGGAGGGGTAGAAAATGTCAGTGTGTACATGTGGAAACCTGTTAAAGTAGCAGACAGGTGAAAAGAAAAAGAAAAAAAAATGGCCACAGAGGAATATTCGGCACAGATACCCAGTTTTGGGGGGAATGTGGGTTAGGAGGAACCACTGGGTGAGTCACTGCATTATGTAGTCCAGCCTGTTGTCTGGATAAAGTGAGATGATTTAAATTGCACTCCTGCTTTTCCAAAGGGACCTAAAAAAAAACGTTCATCTCACTACGACCGGCTGAGAACCCCTGATGCTTTGCTCCACTAAACAAAACACAATCACAAACCTTTTAGACGTTTGATTTTTGTATACGTTTCCAGTGTTTCCCCTAGGAAATTGGTCTTGGGGGGGGGGGGGGGTGCGCTATTGTTTTATGAAAACAAATTTACATGACTCACCTTCAATTATGGTAATAAATTTACACATACATGAACATCTAATTGCCTAACTACATCCTAAAGTTAAGGACTCCTCATGATAATTATCAATAAAATTATTATTGATAATAAGTGATCAGAACTGTGTGCAGCAGATGATCTGAGTCCAGAGTTCTCAGTTTGAAACCTTCTGGAGCTCTTCTGTGTGACTCCAGGTGTGACAGCCTGTATAATGGTAGAGGAAACACTGAAT